CCCACTCCCCAGCCAGGCTCAGGCTCTGCCCAGGCCCCACTGGCTAAGGCCTTCACCCTGCTCAGTGCGGCTCTGAGACAGGACAGCACTGACTGGGGCCAGGCCCTGCCGGGGCTCAGCTCCGAGCCTCAGCCCTTGCTCCTCCCCCAGCCCGGGCTCCCTCTGCTCTGCCAGGGGAGTAGCAATAGCAGTAAGAAGAGCTCAAGCTCACTGAGCACTTGGTATGTGCTAGCACCTTACGTGGGTTATTACTGAACGCTTGCGTAGGTAAGAAAAGGGAGGCTCAGAAAGGTCAGCGGCCTGCCCAAGGCTACCCAGGAAGCGGCAGAGCCAGGCCTGGACCCGGGCAGTCTGGGTGTGCCAGGAAGTGCCGCGGGTGGGTGCTTCGAGGAGGCCCAGGGCCACGCAGGGCGCTCTTGTGGAGCACCCAATGTGTCCGGGTTCCGCCCTGTGAGCTCATGGTCCTGCCACCGGTGCCCCCGGAGAGACAGAGGTCAGGGGAGACGAGGCCACCATGGCGGGCATCAGGAAAAGGGAGGACTGGGCTGGCCTCCCTGATCCAGGGTCTCCTTGAAGGTGGGCAGGGCAGGCCTGGTCACATCCCATTTCACAGAGGGGGTTGGACCCCAGGGGGACTCGGTGCTCACAGCGGTCCCGCGGGCTCGGCAGAGGCTGGCCGGGGCTCCCTGCGGGCAGCCGGGAAGTGGGGTGAGAGAGCTCCCCTGATATGCTCCAGGGGCGACGATCTCAGCAGGGCAGCCCAGGTGAGCCGTTCAGACCGAAGGCAGACCCTGTCCCTCCGCTCAGCTTCCTCCTGGGACGGCCACATCTCTGGCCGTGACCCTGGGCCCCGCGTGGTCTGGGCCCATCCGTCTCCCTCTGGTCTGCTGCCCTTGCAGTGCCCCTGAGGACCGGCTGTCCCTCCTTCCCCTGCGGCCTCCGCCCCCTCCCCCTTCCTCCCTTTACCCTGCTTTACTCTTCAGAGCGTGGCTCTTCCTAACGTACATTACTCAACTCGTTTACCTAGTTTATAACCGACCCTTCTCCCACTCACCCCAAGCACGCGCCTCGCCCCTGGGGGCTGGGGGTCCTTGCTGCCCGGCCTCCCGTGCTCCCGGGCCCTCGCGCGGTGGCCGGCACCCGGCACGCCCGCTGCAAGTTGCTGCGGGATGAACGGGTGGTGCAGGTGCGGTGCGGTGCGCACCCCGTGGGGTGTTGTGGGGCTCGGATGCGATGGTGGCGGTTCCGTCCACTGGGTTGTCTCCCAGGTCACTGGGGGACACTTTGTGGGGCCTTGTTGTCCACTTGGGTTGAACCTGGCAGGTGGAAGGGGCTCAGGACAGTTTTGCCGCTGGATTAAGTCCCGCTATTGACCCCACAGAATTGAGTCTGACCCTTCCGGATTGTGTGGCGCCGAGCAAGTCACTTCATTTCTCTGGCCTCAGTCTCCTCATCTGTGAAACGGGGGCAACAACGGTCCCCGCTGTGTGTTGGAAGGGCTCAGGGAGGTCGTGCGTGTCATGTGCTCAGGACGGCAGCCGGGCTGCGTCAGTGGCCATCACCACTGTGGTCACACCTGAAGGTTTCTCCAAGAAGGTGGACAGTGGACACGGAGACGCTCCCTGGCTGTAGCCCGCACGCAGCCAGGTCGCGTGGAGGGGCACAGTTGCAGCTGTTTGGGGGGGGGGATGTGGCTGCTGGCTCGGGAACAGAACTTACGTTCAGGTCTTGGCCACCTACTCAGTGTCCCTGGGGAAAGCCTCGTCAGCTCTCGGAGTCTCAGTCTCCCCGTCTGTCAAGACAGAGGCAGTACAAGGACTCCCAGGCTGGTTGAGACTTAAGTAAGACCCCAGCTCCCAAATGCTTACTTATTTATTGTTTCCTACTTACGTGTCTCTCGGTCAAAAGATGTATTTGAAGCACTTATCAAAATACGTAAAGATAAAAAGGAATCAGGCCAAGAGGAGTAAAAGTTGAAAAAAATACAAGCAGCTATGAGTGAAGGTGTCCCAGAAAACACAGTTTATGAGGCACTGACTCTGGGCTGACCCCTCTGCCCTTTAGAGCTTCCTAGTAGCCTAAGTGATGAGGGAAACACGCTCAGTTCCATCACTCTTGGCAGCAAGCTAGGCTGGGGCCCAGTGAGTCAGAGGGAGGTCCCAGGAAATGGTGAGCCTGTCCTCCCTATGGGCCAGGGGGGCGGGGTCATTGTGACCTCAGTGGAGTCCAAGGGTGCCCCTTTGCGTAAAGCAGGGTGTTCACTTCCCCCCTGAGTGTCTTACCTGCTAAAGCCTTTGTTGGCTGCTGCCAGGGGATTCAGCCCCGGCCCTGCCCTGCCCCTCCACAGCCCACAGGCCCGTTCAGTCCAGCCGGGCGGGGCCGGGGGTGTGCCTTACAGAGGCAGGTCCCAAGTAGGGAGAACAGCCTCCAGGAAGGCTTGGGGCTCCCTTGGCGAGCCCTGAAATCCTCAGGTGGGTCACTCTGGAGGCTTCTGCAGTGCTGACCCCTCTCCGCGGTTGCCTTGTACCTGGTCACTGCCATGGCAACTGTCCTCCCCGCCTGCCTTTATTGGGCCTCACCCATTGCCCCTCCACTCACCTGGCTGGCCTGCTCTGCCTGGCCTCACTTTGCAGAGCAGGGCTGAAGTCCACTGTGGGGCACAGAAGACCCCCTTGAGCATGCCGCCGAAGGGCAGCCCCTCCCTTCTGCCAGCCGAACACTAGCGGAGGCCAGCCCCACCTCTGTCCTGGGACCGCTGACATTCAGCAGAGGTTAGGCCCCTACCCGCAACTGTCCTGCCTGCCTGCCTGCAGGTTCCAGGAAGGTCAAGCATTTAGGCAGAAGGAGGCACCGCCCCAGCCAGGGGATTGGCAACGCCATTGTTCTGGACTGGCTTGCTCAGGACTTCTCAGCCAGGTGAGGCCAGGGAGGGTGCTTGGCGAAGGAGTCAAGCCGCCCAGGCCCACGCCCCAGCTCCGTAACCTTGAGCAGGTCCCCGAAGTCCTCCTTTATAAAAAGGAAAGCACCGTGGCAGGTGTGGCTCAGTGGACTGAGCACGGGCCTGCGAACCAAAAGGTCGCTGGTTCGATTTCTAGTCAGGGCACATGCCTGGCTTGCAGGTGAGGTCCCCAGTTGGGAGGGGCATGTGAGGGGCAACCACACATTGATGTTTCTCTCCCTCTCTTTCTCCCTCCCTTCTCTCTCTCTGAAAATAAATAAAATCTTTAAAAAAAGAGGAAAGAGTTGGAGGAAATGGTCTTTAAACTTAGTTCTAGATCAAACATTTGTGGTTCTGTGCTCTCCGGCCATGGAACTTGTCAGAGAAAATTACGTGCTGAGAAGTCTGTATCCATCTCACAAGTAGCAACTGGGGTTCAGAATGGAAAGTGCCTTGCACAGTGTCAGCAGTTTAAAAAGCCAAGTGCGCAGCGAGTGCCCCGCCACCCTCAGTGTCAGGAGGTGAAAGGGAGAGTGTGGCAGGAGGACACCTGCATGACCCTGAGAAACAACCAGAGGAGAAGCCACAGAAAGGGACACTTGAGGGAAAAGAGTGTTCTAGGTGGAAGGGCGGTGACCCACTCACCAGGACCTATGGAGGGGGAATGAAGGCACCAGGTGCCAAGGGCCTGGTGTTTGTCTCAACCCCTCCTGTGACTTGGTGGGCCCCTGCAAGCACGTCTCTGGTCCCACTCCCCCAAAAGGGCGTATCGTCCCAGCCTGCCCGCCCACTTCCCTGGGCTCAAGGACAGCGGGAGCCGCACTGTTAGGGTCATTGCCGAGATACAGCATTGAACATCCAGATGAAAGCGTGGCGTTCGGTCAGTGCCGAGGTGCCCGCCTCGGTCTCCTAGTTGTGACAGAGGTGCCGTGCTGATGTAGGTGTCAACCCCAGGGAGGACGCGTGAGGAGCGCAGGGAACTCTCTGTGCTATCTGCGCAACTTTCCTGAGAAACCACAGATGATCCAACATGGAAGGTCTGTTTAAATTGCTATATATGTCTCCGTAGTCACCACGAATTGATAACTTAGGCTGTGTAAAAAAAGGAATGGTTATATTCATGAATCACTCATGAATAGAGAGTGATTCATTCAAAATAACCATGGCATATGATGTAGAATTTAAAAGGAAGTGGCAGGTTTATTTCCACTGACCTGAACATCTCTATTATTCATTTAGAAAAAAATTGATTGGACGTGGTGTCCAATGTGACAGTTATGAAAACTATTAAACCAGGAACAGAAAATTGCACCTGAAACCAGCGATACACCTCTAACAGGTCCAACTGCGCATGCCTGGGCACAGGATAGTCTAGGGCTTGGGGTAAGGAGGGGAACTTTCACTTCATTTTATTCTTTAAATGTTAGAATTAAACGCCATCCCTTGAGACATGTGGATTTTTTTCAGTGAAGAGGTATTGGAAAGGCTTGTCAATGCCCCCCCCCCCCCAAATAAGAAGGTAGATAGGCAGGACATCACCCTGGGCGGTGCAGAGAAGGGCCCCCAAGCCTGCAGCCTGCTCTCCCCCTCCTCTGGGGCCCATACGCCCCCTGGGCAGATTCAGCAACGCAGCGTTGAGTTTTTCCCAGGATGCATTTTGCACCTGGAGCCGGTACTTGGAACTGGTACTAGCTGGTATCGCGCGGCGGGGGGCGGCAGTGAACCAGGGGGAGGAGCCCACTGCAGAGGCTGGATGTGTGGTGAGCTGGTGGTCCCCGCGGGCAGGGCTGGTGAGCAAGGGGCGGGGCTCCTTGAACCAGGAGGGGAGCTTCCTGGACACATAGGCTTTCTGGGGCACTGGGTACAGCAACCTGGACCAGCAGGTTTGATGCCAGGGCGGCAGGAGGCGGCTTCATACAGGGTTACCGGCAACTGGCGGGGAGATTCGCAAACATGGTGGCGGCGAGGGCCTCCTCGGGTCCGGTTCCCAGAAGGGCCCCACGCTCCGCTCCCCCGGGAACGCAGACCCCTGACCCGCCTGCTCTCTCTCTCCTTCCTGCAGGATGAAGATGAGACGCTACAAGCTCTTCCTCATGTTCTGTATGGCCGGCCTGTGCCTCATCTCCTTCCTGCACTTCTTTAAGACCCTGTCCTACGTCACCTTCCCCCGGGAACTGGCCTCCCTCAGCCCGAACCTCGTGTCCAGCTTCTTCTGGAACAATGCCCCCGTCACGCCCCAGGCCAGCCCAGAGCCGGGGAGCCCCGACCTGCTGCGGACCCCGCTGTATTCCCACTCGCCGCTGCTCCAGCCACTGTCGCCAAGCAGGGCCACCGAGGAGCTCCACCGGATGGACTTCGTGCTGCCCGAGGACACCACCGAGTATTTCGTGCGCACCAAGGCCGGGGGTGTCTGCTTCAAACCGGGCACCAAGATGCTGGAGAAGCCCCCATCCGGGCGGCCAGAGAAGGCGGAGGGGGGCGATGGCTCCTCCGCCCGGGGCCCAGTCCGGCACCTGCTGAGCGCCCAGGAGCGCGTGGGGAGTCGCGGCGCGCGGCGCAAGTGGGTGGAGTGCGTGTGCCTCCCGGGCTGGCACGGGCCCAGCTGCGGCGTGCCCACCGTGGTGCAGTACTCCAACCTGCCCACCAAGGAGCGCCTGGTGCCCAGGGAGGTGCCGCGGCGCGTCATCAACGCCATCAACATCAACCACGAGTTCGACCTGCTGGACGTGCGCTTCCACGAGCTGGGCGACGTGGTGGACGCCTTTGTGGTGTGCGAGTCCAACTTCACGGCGTACGGGGAGCCGCGGCCGCTGAAGTTCCGGGAGATGCTGACCAACGGCACGTTCGAGTACATCCGCCACAAGGTGCTCTACGTCTTCCTGGACCACTTCCCGCCGGGCGGGCGGCAGGACGGCTGGATCGCCGACGACTACCTGCGCACCTTCCTGACGCAGGACGGCGTGGCGCGCCTGCGCAACCTGCGGCCCGATGACGTCTTCATCATCGACGACGCCGACGAGATCCCCGCGCGCGACGGCGTGCTCTTCCTCAAGCTCTACGACGGCTGGACCGAGCCGTTCGCCTTCCACATGCGCAAGTCGCTCTACGGCTTCTTCTGGAAGCAGCCGGGCACGCTGGAGGTGGTGTCGGGCTGCACGGTGGACATGCTGCAGTCGGTGTACGGGCTGGACGGCATCCGCCTGCGCCGCCGCCAGTACTACACCATGCCCAACTTCCGGCAGTACGAGAACCGCACGGGCCACATCCTGGTGCAGTGGTCGCTGGGCAGCCCCCTGCACTTCGCCGGCTGGCACTGCTCCTGGTGCTTCACGCCCGAGGGCATCTACTTCAAGCTCGTGTCGGCCCAGAACGGTGACTTCCCCCGCTGGGGGGACTACGAGGACAAGCGGGACCTCAACTACATCCGGAGCCTGATCCGCACGGGGGGCTGGTTTGACGGCACGCAGCAGGAGTACCCGCCGGCCGACCCCAGCGAACACATGTATGCCCCCAAGTACCTGCTCCAGAACTACAACCAGTTCCGCTACCTGCTGGACAACCCCTACCAGGAGCCCAAGAGCACGGCGGAAGGTGCGCCGCGGAACAGGGGTTCGGACGGCCGGCCGCCCGCCAGGGCCAAATCGGAAGTGATGGAAGGCTAAGGTGGCGCGATCTTACAGGGCCAGTGGCAGGGCAGCGGGTGGCGACTTCTGTCGTCTCCCTGACCTCAGAGGGGTTCTTGAGAGGACCAGGAGTGGAAGGGTGGGGGAATCTTCCCTGTTCAAGCCCTTGTGAATCAGGGCTCAGGCCTGCGAGCTCAAAAAGCATCATTCCTTGTCAGGAGAGGGAGACCAGCCCTTCCGCCCCCCAAGAGGGCTGTGGCCAGGAGGTGCCGTGGAGAGTGCATGAATGTCCCTGGGTGTCAGGGGAAGGTGGGGAAGGGCGCGGGAGGAACTCGCGCAGTGCTCCCGTGGGAGCTGAGGCCCCGCTGGGGAGAAGCCGGCTTTTGGGCTTCCTGGTGCTTTGGACCAGCAGTGGGAAGGGTGGGTGCCAGGATGTCCCCGGGCTCTGTAAATAATTGCATTTGGGCCCAAGAGGAAGAGGGGGCACCGAGAAAGGAGGGCATAAACATAGAGCATCCAGTGGGGAAGTAGCACGGTGTCCTCAGAAGTCCAGGGCCAGAAGAGCCGCCTGCCCGCCCCACGGGGACACCACTGTGGTGGGTGCCAGCTGTATGCCCCAGCCCTGCCCCAGCCCTTCCCCAGCTGACTCCTCTCTGGGGAGTGTGGGCCTGACTTCCATGTTCCTTTTTACTTTCTACATCGTTGTCTTGGGGGCTACCCGCTAGTCCTTGCAAGGCCAGGAGGTCAGTTCTCAGGGCGGCACAGGGCTCCAGCCAGCCCAGTAGGTCAGCCCCAGGGGCACCTCGTCACCCCTTCCCACTGGAGTCCACAGCCCTGGCTCTCCACCGTCTCAGGTGGAGTCGCCCCCGTGCCCCTCTCCGGTGCTGGCTGGGGGCCAGGAACGGGCCACGAGAGACATGATGGCCAGTTGTGTGTTATCTCATTCCTCTTAGTATGCCTCGTGGGGGCAGGAGATGGACCCACTGAAGTAGGTTCTAAGCTGCTGTAATTAAGAGACGCCGAAATACAGTGAGTGGTTTAAGCCAGACAGAAGCTTGTTTCGGATTTAACCCCCTGGAGGGGAGGGGTCTGGACCGAGGAGGGCAGCTCTGCTTCCCTCGTGCAACCTTCCAGTTCCGGACGGGGGGCTCGCCCCGTTCCCAGCGGCACACGGGCACCCAGGCCCCGGGGGCCGGCAGAGAAAGGCAAGGGAAACGCAGAGCCTCTCCTGTTCGTGGCGTGAGCCAGAGATGGCACAGTCACTTCTGATGGCATCTTGCTGGCCGCAGGCAGCTGCAAGGAAAGCTGGGCTGCCATGAGCTCAGCATCAGCTTAGTTCTCACGTTACAGGAAGGTGGAAAAGGTGGATACAGGGGCTAGGGGGGAGAGGGTAGAAACGACTGTGGCAGTCATAAGGTCATCCTGCCTTGCGTGGAGCTCCTGGAACGACCCGCCCCCTCCCTGCCAGCCCGGGGCTGGGGTGCGCTGGGAGCCTGCGGTTATAGGGAGGGTGGGCCACCCTCTCTCCGAGGCCCCAGTAGATGCTTGCCCGGTGACGCCAGGACGCAGAGGCTGCCTGTGGAATGGTGCGTGTGTGTGCGTGTGTATTTATGGGCATGGGTGCATGCTTGTGTGTACTTGTATGTGTCTGTGTCGCTGTGTCCCTATACATAATATTTGTGTGTGGATGGCCCCCTTCCCCGGAGTCTGGAGCCTGTGATCACGCCTCCTGCAGCTCCCCAAAGTGACTGAGGCAGAAAACCCTTGGGGAGCCTGGAAAGCAAGGCTAAAGGGAATGCAGGGTCCGTCCGTCCGTCCGTCTTTCAGTTCGAGGGATGAGAATCCTCCTGACCCAAGGGCTGGGCTGCATAGCCACACGCCCACGACCTCCAAGCCCCGCTCGGCCCCACCCACATCCTTCCACCCTGTGCTCTCTGGCCTCCAGCAGGGACTTTTTCTGGGTGTTCCTCAATGGGCCAGACGAGGAGGGTGCCCCTTTCGCCACAGCTCCGTCTGCAGAAGTTCCTGCTGTGGGAGTGGTGAGGCAGCTGGCTGAGGAAGTCAGTCAGTCTCTGGGGCAGGAATGAAGAAGGCTGAGGGGGCTCTATTGCCCCCACTCTCCCTCCTGTCTCTAGAAGGACTGCCAGGGAACCCCTCTCAGAGTTACAGCAGCCCCCCGTCTCTGATTCCTCTGGGGGCTGAGACATGGCTCAGGAGGTCAGCCACCACCCCTGCTCACCCCTGGACAGGAAGCCTCAGGGGTCCGGAATCGAGCCTGAGCCCCAGCCCAGACGCCTCCCTGCTGGCCAGCGTTCTCACCCCACGCGCCCTCCTGCTACTGCCAGGCACCCCCTCCCAGGCTGGCCTCCAGTTCACCAGCTCGGGCAAGGGAAGAAGGGTGGAGCTCAGACCTGCCAGGCCCGGCCTTTCCTTCTCAGACCCAGGAGGGCATGTTCGTGGCCACTGTCAAGTGAGGCCTAGCCACCGGGCGGAGATGACAGCTGTCAGAGGGGTGGGGGGCAAAGGCACGGGGTTGAAGAGTTTCACATGTAATCACACCACACACTGGGAATTTGTGGGGGACAGGGGAGCCCTGGGCCACTCACCCAATGCGAAGGGAAGCCAAACTGTGAACGTGAGTGCTGGTGTACCACTAGCCCTGACAACACACCCCCATTTCTCTTCCCTGGGACACCTGCCCTACACCTGTCGGCCCAGGGAGGTGCAGCCCACCCACAGGCCATGCCGGGTCCCGGGGTCAGGCATGGGAGCGCTTTGGAGGGCAAAGGTAACAGTTGGGGTGGGGAGACAGGACTTGGCCAAAAAGATAGCAGGGCCCTGGGAAATGTATAATTTAAGGACACCATTATTTTTTTTGGAAGGGAAAATCGATATGTACATTCTGAAATCATTTTCTCTGTAAATGGTTGGATTTCATTTCACCCTTAAAGGGATGCTTAAGGTAATATTAATAATAAAAACAGCTACGAAGTATGCAGCGTGTGTGCGTGTGTGTGGCTGGTTTTGGGGTGCTCTGGGGCAGGGCGGGCTGCAAGTGGGTGGCTCTGGTCTTGCTGAAGCCAGTCTCCCTATGGAGTGCTGGGTCTGTGGGGTGAGCCTTCCCAGGCCCCCACTGCTGGTGAGGAGGGGTGCAGTTACCTCCGCCAGCACCAGGGGGCACCCTTCCCTCCTACGGGTGGAAATGGGCTGAGGAAGGGAAAGCGCAGGACAGGGACGCCCAGAAGGAAGGAGAAGGGGGCCTGGGACTGGCAACACCCACCCTCCCAAGGCAGGGGGATCTTGGGGGTCCAGATAAAGACTTTGGTGCCTGTACAGAGAGGGCAGCAGTTCCCCCACAGCTGGGTTGTTGAGGCATCCTCAGTGGTGTCCTCACTGTGCCTCTGGGGTCCTAGGTTCATACATACAGCCACCGGATGGCGAGCGGGGCTGGGCCTGGACTCAACACCAGTCCTGCCAGCAACCCTCTGGGGCAGGTGAGGGTGGCAGCTTCTGGGGCTAGTCATTTCTCCCCCATGAAACTGACCGTGGACTTGGGCCGTGATGGCACCTGGTGGTGTGGAATGCGGGGGGTGGGGAGGCTTCCTGGAGTTTCCCTCCGGACTCGGACTCGTATACTGGCATTGTCCCGGAGAAGAGGGCCCTCTGGGTGTTTTCTAAGGAGAGTCTCAGAGGTGGTGGGAGGGGACACACTTTGAACTCTGCCTTGGTCCTCTGCGGGGTGACTGCAGCCTCCATGTTAGATGGGGAGACTGAGGCCGGAGACGGGAAGGAGTGGCGGCAGAGGGAGTGGCCAGAACGGGAGGCGTTAGTGTCTTCCGAGCACTGCCAAGGTGCCAGGCGCTCCACAGGTGGTGGGTGATGGAAGAAGGCACAATGATCACTCACAGGGGCACTAGAGGGTCAGTTCTTCTCTTGTGGGATTTAACGGTATTGGGGAGGGGTTCCTCCCATTTTCCAGCCAGGAAGATTGGAGGAGGGGAGGCTCGGATTTAGGGAGATGAAGGGTCGAAACGGCTCCAAGGTGCACAGCTCGCAGGCAGCAGGATCTCCACCACCCTTCTCACAGTGCTGCACTGCCGCCTAGTGGGAGGGCGAGGCATGGCCGCTGCAGGCGGCTCAGGCTTCGCCGCTCTTTCCTTTTTCTCCTCGCTGGACGCGGCCGCACTGCGTGCCGCAAAAAAATGGAAGAGCAAATATAAAAGTTAGAATCATGGAAAAGTGTAATGAGAAAAGCAAACCACGCCTGGGAAACACCACCAAATGATGAAGTCAGCGCTAGGGGGACGTCAGAGTGTTCAAGGCTGCAGAGGAGAGGGGCACGTCCTCTTCTTCGCTGTTACAGGTGAGGAAACGAAGCTTCCGGAACTCGCACGGGACGTGGTGGAGCTTGGGGATGGACACTAACGGCGGGCGCCTCGGGAGCGGCTCTCTTGTCTAGTGGGCGTGTCTCCCTCACTTTTACGTCCCCAGCGCTCTGCGCAGGGCCGGGCAGTGCCCCCTCAATCCTGCTGAACTGTACTGACGCGCTGTGCACGTAGTAACTCGCCCTTCCTTGGGCGACCCACCCCCAGGCCTCTGACGTGGGCTGTTAGTGGTGGGCGTAGATGTTGGCATCGACTCCACCAGCATGTCCCCAAACAGTCGGAGGACCCCAAGGACCCCTGCGCCCTGTCAGGCCAGGGTAGCTACCTTCCTCAGTTGGGGTTCACTCATCCCCTCTGGCTCAGGGAGGGCAGAGGCCCACGTGGAGGAATGGCTTTCCCACTGAGGAGCTGTGTTTGGAGAGGGCTCCTCCCATTCTCTAGCCTGCACCCAGCCTGTGGATAGCCAGAAGGACACCCAGGGAAGGAACGGCTGTTTGGCAGCAACCGGGCAGGAGGGCATCAGTGGGTCACGTTCTGAGACTCCAAGGATGGAGAACATGTGCAAACATCACAGCTCGTCATCTGAGCTACGGTTGGGGCCTTTCCCAGCGCTGCTCATCCTCTGGAACACACCCTGGCCTGGAAATGCAGAAAGTATCTCTTGCTTTTCCTTCTCCCTCTTAGGGCCGCCCCAGTCCTTCGAGGCCTTTTGCAAATCGGGAAGGGTGCCCGTTCCTCAAGACATTTTACTTCCATCTATTGAAAAATTGCCATAATGGGCCCTGGCCGCGTAGCTCAGTTGTTTGGAGCATCGTCCTGAGATACCAGCGTTGCAGCTTCAGTCCCCAGTCAGGGCACAAACAAAAATCAACTGATGAAGGCATAAATAAGTGGAACAACAAATTGATATTTCTCTCCCCCTTTCTCTAAAAATCAATCAATAAAAAAAATTTAAATGCCATAATGTAGCCCTGGCTGGCGTAGCTCAGTGGATTGAGCGCGGGCTGCGAACCAAAGCATTGCAGGTTCAATTCCCAGTCAGGGCACATGCCTGGGTTGCAGGCCATGGTCCCCAGCAACCGCACACTGATGTTTCTCTCTCTCTCTCTCCCTCCCTTCCCTCTCTAAAAATAAATAAATAAAGTCTTTTAAAAATGCCATAATGTACTGGTTTCATTAGAACAAGACAATTCACTGCCTTCTGCCAGAGAAATGTCAGACGAAACACGACTCCATGGGCCCACCCCATGGGGAAGGTGCCCCTGTATGTAGTGCCCTTGTTTAGCGTGCAACACAAACAACCACCTCTGCAGTCCCGTCTCCATCCCAGATCTGCCCCGATCACGACCTGGACACAGTCACCTGCAGTGCTAAGTCACCCTGCCGCCCTGTCCTGCTGGCTACCTTGTGCCATCCCCTTGGGCTGGAGCAGACGCCTGACTCAAAGGCAGCCGATCCACCTACAGGCTGGGCAGCCCTGCCCGTGACGTGGCCAGGTCTGAAGAGGTGAGCTGGGCCCGTCAGAGGGCGGGGGTCAGGGAGGGGGCGCGTGGAGCAGGTGCAGAGAGAAGCAGCCGTGGGAGACCAGTAACCGCTCCACATCGCCCTGTCGGAGCTGTGACCTGGGGGAGGTCACGCCGACCCAGGAGTCACAAAATTCCAAAGACCTGAAGATGGGCTTCTCAAATACACACGGTATTTGATAAAAGAGGTTTTTCATGGCATCGGGAGGAAAAAGGATTAGTTCATAAATATCTGACAGACATTTAAAAAAAAGACTAGTCACAATCCCTCCCTCAGTCCTTACACCCAGATGAATCCCAGATGAATTTACCAAAGATATAAAAAGTGAATGGGGAGGAAAGGAGGGAGAGAGGGGTTGCCTCTCCCAGGCATGTGCCCTGACTGGGAATTGAACCGGTGAACTTTTGGTTCACAGGCCAGCGCTCAATCCACTGAGCCACAACAGCCAGAGCTCAGTTTCCTCTTTCTCTAGGCTAAGGTTCAGGGCTTTGTGATGGGAACTGGGAAGGGATGTCAGGGAGCGTACTCATCGTAACCCTGGGGGGCAGTCGGGGTTTGTCTTCGATTCCTTTTCCTTCCCACGTAGGAGGAGAAAGCCTCACAAGGCCTGGCGGACCCAGAAAACCCAAGGAGCCCAACGGGGGATGGAGTGAGCACCCACAGAGGAGACAGTGGGGAGTGGTGGGGATGGGGGCGAGCCAGGGAGTTCATCATACTCTCTCCAGAGGTGAGGACTACTCCCCAGCGCGGGTGGGGAGGCCGGTGTGGCCAGATCTTCTACACATTTGAGCAAACCTGGAAAGCTGTCTTGCATAACCGTCTGGGACTTGCGAAGCTCTTGGTGTAGCAAGGAGAACAATTCTCGGTCCAGTCCAGCACGCAGGCTTCCAGCGTGTCCCTCGAGGATGAGGAGGTGGAGGCTACAGCCAGCCTGAACGGTGCTGCCTCATCTGTAAAATGGGTACACGGATACCTGGCCCGCACAGGGCTGCAGTAGAGGTCAATGGAGACAAAGGGTGTGAAAGGCATCCAAGTAACATTCACCGAGCAACTGCTCTGGGCTGGGCGCTGTTCTCGGCCTTTCCCGCTTCCTCCTAAGTAAGTCCTGGAACTCACGGCGGTTGCACAGGCGGGAAGAGGAGATGTTGGGATCCAGGCTCTGAGCCTGCGCACCTGCCAGCCTCCCCCGCCCCCACCCCAGCCCCCACTCCTGCAGCCTGGTACAGGAGGGTATTCAGCAAACCAGCGTCCATCCCCCGCGTCCTTTTCCACACCACCTGGCACAACGTGGGCAGCGGAGATTTCACTGGCTTGAAACCTCACTCCTGCCCGCAGAGATCCGGTTTTAGTCTGTTGAGTACAGGATCGATGGCACTGATTACAGCAAAGCCCTTTACGAGGGAGGCGGCTCTTTCTGAGAGTGATTTCCAGGTCCCTGGCAGGCTCGCAATCCCAGAGCTTGGCTGATCCGGTTTCAGCCAACTCCTCCATCAGCTGCGTAATGATAGTGCCCGCCCTTCACTCCCTCCCGGGCCTGCCCCTGGGAGGGCTGGGGAGGTGGAGGTGGGCTGGATGGAACTTTCTGTCCTGTCATCCAGCAGCAATTTCCCTCCAACTCAGAGTGGCCAGCATTTCCAGAGAGGCTTGACTTTGTAAGGCATCCTCCTGGGCAAAGTGAAGGGAATGGGGCTGGTGAGATGCAGGCCTCAGAGCACTCGGGCCCCTGCTAAGGGAGGTAGAGAGGCCCGGGGCCACCCTGCCCTGCTCCTCTACAGGCAAAGGGGCGCCCGGCCTGCTCTTTCTCTCTCTGCTCCGTCTCCTCTGTGCCGTCACAACCCAACAAGTTCCCTCTAACACCCCTCTCTTTGAACTGTCCTCCCCTTCTGCCCTTTTCTTTCCCAGAAGAACCCCTGTCTCCTCCCCACTTGCCATTTACTCCTCAGTCTTTGTCCTCACGGGGCTGTGAGGAGAGCTAGGGGGTTGGTGTGTGTAAGTGCCGGCGCACAGGAAAAACTCAGTGAGGAGGATGAGCTCTCACTGCCCACCGATGACTTTCTCAAGGAGTCCCGCCCTGCCT